CGATAGCTTCATATATATTAAAGTTTCTAAAATTTTTTTATTAGTTATAACAATATATACTTTAGTACAATAATATGGTGCATGTACTCTAGAACCGGTGTTACATGATATAAGCGGGCAAATTTAAATTATAATAGAAAACTATATGATCACGTTTTAAATCCGAATATTTCCGAGCAGAAAATCATTGAACATAAAAGACGAGCACATAATTCCTAAAATTTCTGAATTACAACAATTAGAATATAGGCAAGGCTAAATTTCCGAATTACAACTTGTTTACACCAATTAGAGTTTAGGCAAATTTCCGAATTACAACTTATTTACAACAATTAGAGTTTAGGCCTGGTTAACAGATTTGAGCTTAAACGAGTTTAAGCCTGTTACAGCGTAATTAAAACGATTAGAGTTTAGGGTTTAGGACTGGTTTATGTTAAAACCGGTTTTAACATAAGAAATAAAACTGGGTCCAAATGATAAGCGATAAAAAAGATAAAGTCTATTGAGACAGACTGATGGGATGATGTAATCGCACATAAAATTTAATAAATAAAAAAGTTAGATCAATGAGATTGCGCAAATAAAGTAATAAATAAAAGGTTAGATCAATTAGAGTGAACTTTCACTTTCTGATATAATAAAATAACTTTGAATAACATCATTGTGCCTGCAGAAGGTCGAGGGTGAAGGTATAAGGTGGAGGTAGAGGAGTATATTATTAGATGGGATTAGTGTTGTGTTAACACAAATGCAAACTTTTGACAAGATATAAAGTGCACCGTCATTTTCAAACTTCACATGAGCCATTGCTATTTTCTACTTTCACATGTGCCATCGTCATTTCTAACTTCACATGTGCCAATGTTAATGAATTAATTTAAATTGGAATAGTTGTTCACACAATATAATGCGATGTCGATTGTGCAAAGATGACTGTAACCATAGACAAGCAGAAATGATAAATAACGATAATATGATGATAACAACAACCCAGGCTCAAAATTGATTCAATTTCAAGAAACTTACGAAGTTAAGAGCTGCGAGTTGAAGAGCGACGAAGTTACAGAGTTGAATCATGACGAAGTGGACTGAAGAGTAACTAAATTTTGCGAACACTTACATTTTTTTAAAATATTATTATTGGGTTGCACGGGTTGAATTTTGTCCGTTTTGGCATAACTAGAAAACAAAAAAAAAAAAAATAAATTAAAAAAAAAAAAAAAGGGAAATTTAAAAAAAAAAAGAAAAATCTGTACGCATAAAGCGTTTTCATATCTCAAACAAATTCAATCCCGGTCACAAAATCTTGATTAGGACAATTAGACTCCAATTCATTCATTTTATCGCAACCACCACCATTACCCATCCAAACAAAAGAAAGCAGCAACTTAAAGCTGCTAGAGCCAAGAAGCGTAAGCATACATTCGATATTACAAATATATCAGATTATGAAAATCTGGATGACCATATTTGGTCAGATAAGGATATTGATGAGAGGGCTTCCAATTACTTTGCTGTTTTATTAACGGCTGGTAAAAATATAAATATCTGGAAACCTTCAGGTAGGCCTTCAATATACTTTGGAGGTTCTAAAAGAACCCAAAGATGCAAAAAAGCAGAGCTAAAGAAGGCTGCACAAAACAATCGATCTATTACTGCATATCTAGCCCCTGCCTTAGCATCTAACATTGCCTCAGCTTCGACTTTGATAGGAATGGAATCAATAGATGTGGAATCAACGGAGGTGGAATCAATAGAGGTGGAATCAGTAGAGACAGAATCAATGGAGGGGGAATCAATAGAGGTGGAATCATTGGAGGTGGAATCATTGGAGGTGGATGAAAAAACAAAAATGAGGTTAGCAATCGAGGAGTTAGATGGGATGTTAAAAAATGATAAAAATCAAATGGATAAGGGTATAAGAGTTCGCTTGCAAGCATCATTACAATATTTATGGGTAAGATACCAGGGTCAAAATAGAATAAATTCAAGCACAACAATTGCTAGTTCTTTAGAATGGGGAGACTATAAAGCACGATGTATTGGCGCATGGGCACAAAATTGGATAAATTGGCAAAAACTTCCAAGAGATAATCGTGGTAAATTCACTAAAGTGTTGGGCCTTCTTGATGATGAGAGAATATCTATAAAGGTATATATATTTTTATAACAATTTTGTACACAATGCTTTAATTCTTCGTAATTCACAATAATTACATTTTGAACAGATAATGTTGTATCTAAGGAGTCATAAGTTTAGTGTGAATCCTAAAGTTCTAAAAAAATATGTAGAGAATGAAGTATTTCCGTCTTTAGGTATTGAAAACAAAACAACTATATGTGAGAAAACAGAATGGAAATGGCTTATAAAATTAGGATGGGAATGTAAAGAGTGAAAAAAGGATATATATGTAGATGGACACAAGCGAGAAGATGTGGTACACTATAGGCAAACAATTTTTTTACCGATGATGAAGGAATTGGAGTCCGTTATTCTTGAATATAATGACAAAGATCTTACTAAACTTGTGGAGAAGAATATTTCTCCTGAAAAAAAGTGACATTGTGTAATAACACATGATGAAACAACATTGGCAGCAAATGACGATAAGAAAACAGGATGGGGGCCCAAAGGTTTGTTTATGTTATGAACGATAACTTTCAAGTACCTTTTTATTTATAACTAAGCTTTTACTCTTTAATTGTTAATAGGAGAACACAAATTATGTCCAAAAGGACGGGCCGATGTATCCATATTAGTGAATTTTTGTGTAAACCACTAGGTCGAGTTCATTTAACTGAAGAGCAACATGCAGCCCATCCTGAAATCCCCAAACGTTATGTTACAGAGCTGCTGGAAATTGGTACAAACTACCAAGGTTATTGGAATGTTGAATTGCTTGTTAAGCAACTTAAATGGGCGATTGATATTTTGGAAATTGCACTTCCAGATACTATATTTGTTTTTGGGTTCGATAACAGTTCCAGCCATGGAGCTTTCGCTGAAGACGCACTAATAGCAAGGAGAATGAACGTTGGCTATGGTGGTAAACAACCCAAAATGTGCTCATGCCGATTTCCTGATGATAGATCTCAAGAGATGACTTTTTCATTAAATTATCCAGATGTAAAAAAAAGAGGACAGCCAAAAGGAATTGAGGAGGTAATGAAAGAACGAAGAATATGGGACAAACAATTGAGAGGAAAATGTGCTAAATGTTCAAAAAATGAACAAGAAATATGTTGCAATATGAGAAAACTGGCTAGACAGCCAGATTTTATGGAACAAAAAAGTGTTCTTGAGGAAATAGTGCTTAAGCAAGGTCACAAAATTTTTTTTTATCCTAAGTTTCATCCAGAATTGAACTTTATCAAATATTATTAGGGGGCGATAAAAAGATATGCAAGGAGCCACTATGATTATTCTTTTCAAGAATTAAGAAAAACAGTACTAGAGGCTCTTAATTCCGTAAACATAATAACAATCAGAAAGTTTGCAAGAAAAGCATGGAGGTATATAGATGCTTATAGAAAAGGATTATCTTTCTCTGCTGCTGAAATTGCAGTAAAAAAATATAAGTCGCATCGAAGGATCCCTGAAAATATCGAATTGTAATAGTTGCATAATAACAAATAATAAATTGCAATTATAATGCATATTATAAAATCTTATTATATGTATTTCATTATTTGTTTTAGATTTAAATTGATTCTTGGTAAAACAAATTCGATTATACTAATGCAAGCAGTACGATCTAATTTCTCTAATATTTTAATGTAAAATCTGTGAACCATTAAGCATCTTTGCATTTAATACCTTGTCTATAAATGTTTTAATTATGCAACAAGCGTTTAGCCAATTATCGCTATGTTCAAAATTCTGTCTATATGATTGATGCCTAATTGTGAAAATCAGTTGCGGAATTGATTTCTATTTTTTAAAGCATATTCTCTGCATTTCTATTATTATTAATAAATAATAATGATAATTTTTTTATCATAATTTTAAAAATGCAGAGAATATATCCTTAAAAATGAAAATCGATTTTGCAATCAATTTTCATAATTAGGCATTAATCACACAGAGATATAGAATTTGAAAATAGCGACTAATATATAGTTTTGAGTCCTAAGAGCAAATTTAGCCTACAATCAAAAGCAACTCTTTTTTGCAAGTTTATTATTAAATTTATAACCATCGAAGATTTTTGTTTAGTTGAAATCTTCAAAATCATAAATATTAATAAATAAGATAAATGTACCTCAAACTTGCCCTATATCGTTTTACAATATGTAACACTTTTAAAAATTCATTAAATTATAATAAATAAATTGGTTTAGATCAAAATCCTGACATGCGAAATCCTGACAGGTAATAATCCTGACAAAAAATCCTAACAGCAAAAATCTCAAGCAAAAATCTGAAAGATAAAAATTCTGACAATTAAAAGTTCTAATAAAAAATATCATAAATCATAACTAATTCTAGCTTAACCTTATTTAAAGTGACCTAACTCTAAAGTTAATTGAATTATAAGAGCCTGCTTTGCTTTAAATATACCCCATATTTGAGATTTACTACTTGAAAATTCTGGCTATCGGGATTTTTTAATTGTTGGGATTTTGGCTGTAGTGATTTTTTTTGTCAAGATTATGACCTGTCGAGATTGTGCTTGTCAGGATTTTGACTAGCATCCAGAATAAATAAATAAGAAAGTATTGCTTTGTTACCATTTTACAAAAAAACTGTTTAGCATATAAAAGTTAGTTTTTAACTTTAATGATAAGCAGGTTTTTTTGAATTGTATTTTTTGAAGTTTTGCGCTAAATATGATTACAATTTGATCGAAAAATGCACTATCTATAAGTGTATATCTCCTAAATTTACACTCTTAATAATTTTTATAAATGCACTTGTTCTTATTGTTCTCTTAAATACATGTTGTTAAAGTTTGGCTTTAAGAGCATGCATTTATGGAGGTTTACTGTTTCTCAAAAAAAATATTTGGTTTTATATAGACTAAAAATTATTTGCATTTGGAGAATATTAGTAATTTAGAAACATTTATTTAAAATTCAGTTATATTCAAATACATTACCAATGCTAGGTACTATTCTTGATCGCTAAATTATTGTTTCAATATATTCAATCAGAAAACAGAGTTGACTTTGTATTTAGAAGATTAGCTGAAAAAAGAACTATATAGATATATACAAAGCAGCCACTAAAATATATATTATATAGTGATGATAATAATGCACGATTATTTAATAAATTGATTAATAATCATATGACTTGCACTCTTGCGTTAAGTGTGTAATCATACATGTTTGGTAAATTACTGTATAGTGGCCAATTTTTATCAAATTATTATATTAAATATAGTGGCCAAATTTTGGTATTAATATTGAATTCCTTTAACTTTAGCAGTAAATAAATCAGAACTAATATATTTAAATAAAAAATCTTTTTGTAATGCTATAGTACTTGGTTTATAGTATTAATTTACAAAGAACTTTTTGTAACTATATATATATATACATTAATTATAAACAATTTTAAAAACTATAGATATATAAGTCACGTGATGCTGGTTCTAGAGTACATGCACCATATGATAATAATAAACTAAAATCTCATACCTTATGTTTCAAAATGCATTTTTTTCAGGATGAATTGAATAATACTGATTATCTTCACTATGTATTGTTTGTATTATAGCGTCTGGAGTTCTTGGAATTATTTTCATTAAATTAGTATTATTCAAGTCATCTTTTGATACCAAGCATTTTCTACATGGTTTTCTTGAGGAAGCTGGTTGATAAACATTTGCAAACTTATCGGCCTCAGCCATGTCCGCGATAATTATTGATATATGTGGAATAAAAGTGATTATATTTCCACGTATTACAAAATGAAGCTCTGGTTCTTCAATGATAGGCTTGAGAATAATCGACATGCACTTCTGAAAGATTTCTCTCTGTGCTATTCGGAACTTATCAGACTTTTTTGTTTTAGAATTCTTAGCTTTTAAGATTGAAAGGTACCCAATTAATACTTTGAATTCGGGTTTATTTCTTTGATAGTTGGGAATATTTCCAAGCGATAAAAACAAGGGATGCCCAGAAGATTTTTCTATGTGATTAAGAGTTGTTGCATCTGAATAAAGAATAATCAACAACAAACATTGACTAAAGAATAATTCTGATTCTTCTTGCTTCCACCAATTACTCTGGTATTGTTCTCTGAAGATTCTACACTCTACATTGTTCCTTATTTCTCTTTTATCTTCATAGTCAAGGACCAATGACTGATTAATACTATCGATCATTAATAAAGACTTTATAGTCTTAATTAATGACCAATAGTAAAATATAGAATTACCATTTTCAAACTTTTTTATAAAAATTTCTTTAAACATCATATAAAGAGGAGTAGATTCATCAAGAAATTCCTTTCTAGCCTTTGTTGATAGTAGAAGTGGTGAAATATCCAAATTGGCGAATTTATTGAAGAAGGTTATAATAGCATCACCAGTTGAATTTGAAAGTCGATGCTTATTGACTATCTCTATAAATTCGCGATAAATATCATTAGGCCATTCAACATTTGGTGGATGGTACAAGTCATCAAAAGCATCATCAAATGAAGCTCCTTTATAATCTTCAGGATCATCAAAGGCATCATTTAACGAAGCATCTCTATGGTCTTTAAGATTACTTTTATTAGACGTATTTTGAGATACTTCGTCTTCCATCAGCATATTATCAATTAAAAGAGGATCTACTTCCATATAAGAAGGCTCGTTTGGAATTGATTCAGATGAGATTGACATATTTTCGCTCTATATGAAAAATTATCGTTTATATCATTTTATAACTAATTAAAGATATATAATCAATTTACCTCATCTTCTGTAGCAGAATCATAACTAGAACTATATTCTTGAAGATTCTAAATATCATCGTTATTATCTAAATATTTAGTAGAGGCTGCATTATTTGTTGAATCATGAAAATAAGGATGTCTTTGTGAAATATGTTGTACTAATGCGAATAATTTCAAAAATTTTGATTACAATGCTAATACTGCCAGCACATTTTAAGAAAAAGCAAATAAAAAAACAGAAAAAAAAGAAAATTAAAAAAACCAAAAGAGAAAACTAGAAGCAAAATAAAAAAAGCAAAAAAAACAAAAAAAAAATAAAAAAAAAATAGATATAAATGTAAAAGATAGAATAGATCAAATATAAAAGATAGAGTTGGATAGATGTATTGAATGTAAAAGATAGAATATGGAAAGAGTATCTAAAAAAATCAAAA